AACTTCTCATTTTCTACAGTAAATCAATTCTCATTTTCAACCACACATTTTTCAATAAAATAATATTTTCCATCACATCAATACTTTTTTCTTCTTTTTCAACCACACATTTCCCATCATATTACTATTCAAAAATCAATTCTTTCTCCAAAAATCCCTATCAAACACACTCTTTGTATTTTTTTTTTTTTTCTCAATTACATTGCAGTCTTGGAAGTCTTCTTGATCGATGGCTCCCCATTTAGTGAAAAAATGATAATTGAGAGAAAATAGAATAGGAGCTTAATTTTCTTTACTAAATTCAAGATTTATTCAGTTTTGCATACAAGCACTACGAAAGACAGTAAAAAAGTCACCAAAACAGAAATTTAAGGACATAAAAATATTCAAGACACAAAATTAACAAAACCAATTATTCATTTCTCTAAATCCAAGATTCTACAAGCTCAAGAAGCTTGTGAACCGCTGATTTTATGCTGCCCGAACTGATCAGCCTTATCCTTCATCTCCCGAGCCTTAGTACCTAGCTTCGTCTTTGCATAATCCAGATGATCCGCCCCGGGAGGGTGTTTCCCAGTTACGTATCGATAAATCCACGACAGAACACTAATTGCAGCCACCCCAAATCCTCCAGAAGCAAGCAAACCCGAGCCTATCAAGAAAATGGTTAAGGCAGCCGGAACCAGCACCGGACTGAAAATGACAAGCAAAGGAGTGGCTAGAGTGAGAGCAATCACAGTTCCGGCCAGAGTCAAGCCCGAGAGGACTAGGAGAGAACCACCAGCAGTGGCAGCGGTGGCAGCTTTCACCACCTGATGGGACCTCGTCTGCTGCTGCTGCTGCTGCCTGTCGTAGTACTGCTCAGACATCTTTCGCAAACCTGAAGTCAGCAAGAAAATTAATTTTGCAAAATAAGTGAACAGTATTCAACAAAAGGTGTAAATTGATGAAAAAAAAGTGAATTGAATGCAGGATTATATAGGAAAAGAAGAGGGGTACGTGTTGAAGAGGGGCGTCACGTGGCGGAGAGATTTACATGCAAGGGTTGCATGTAATGAAGAGGTGCTTTTGTAGAGACACGTCAAATTTTGAAAGTATATGCGTTGGATGGAGAGAAATGAGATTTGAATATTATCCCCTATATGAAAATAATTAGTAAAATCAAAGATTAGTTCTCCTAATTAGTTAAAACGAGAAATCACGAAATAATCATCAAGGTCACCATACCAAATTTATCAAGGAATTTGAATCCATGTAAAATTCGATTTTGCTCTAATTTATCCAATAAATAGAGAGTTGTCCTTGAGCATTTTTATTATCATAGAGAGAGAGAGAGAGTTTAGAGAAGTTAAGAGTGCGATTTTCTCTTGTAAATATTTTTTTATCATAATGAATTACTGCAGTTGTGGGAGAGAATATAGTCTCACCTTGAGGAAAACCTTCTATAAATCTTAAATATTCTTGAGTATTTATTTTTCTCTCTTCGAATTGATTGCTCTCGGTAGAATCGAATTAGAGTATATAATTCTCAACAAAGAATTTGTGAGTCTAATTACACCTACAGTTGAACAAATCAAACAATAAGTTATAAAATTAATGAGAATAATCAAAAGAAATCAAATGAAGAAACTAAAATTCAAGAACAATGAATTCCCCTTTTTCTTAGGCTCAAGAATCTTAATCCACCACCACAAAGGCAACACCAATTTGGAGAATCACTCTGGCACACCAAGGCACGAAGAACCGAGGCTGGATTTGAGAAAAATTGCACAAAGCAAGAAGATGTTTTAGCACAAATCAGAAACCGGTATTTTGTCTTCTCAAAGGCACAAAGCAGAGAACGTTTTGGTGTGAGTAATGGAAGCCGAGAAGTTTCAATTTATAGGCAAGAGGTTAAACAAATTTCCCAGATTTATCTCCAAGATAGAGTTCAAGAAGAACAAAATTGTTACAAAGGATAAGAATATCATAACAATTTAACCTCCACGTGAAGATAAGAGATAGAGTTCCCAATTCAAAATTATTTCCACTTATTGGGTATTGAGCACATAGCCCAATGGATTGATTTCCTCTAAATACCCAATAAGATTTGGGCTACATCGTTTGTGGGGTGGATTTCAATATTCTTCAATCCCGGATTTAAAGCCTATGAAGATAAACGGACCACGATTTTTCATTTCCCTAAAGGTTATTTGGGCATCACCAAAATACCCAATAGAATTCATTCATGTCTTTACCTATGTACACATTTTTTAATATTAGAAGTTTCTTTCATTTGCATTGGGTGGTAAGCTTTGTAATGGGTTGTGGCAAAATCTTGTGTACTCCTTCTTACCAAACATGTTTGGTATGGTCTACTGGATATTATTGATAGTATTCAGTAGAAATTAAGAGTAATTAAGGGTGATTAGCACAAAACGTTTCCACCTTTCATTTTTATTGTGAAAAACGTCATTACCTTTCATTTTTTGACATTTTCACCATTATTTTCACCTTTCATTGCTCAAAATGTCATTTTCATCCATTTTCTCAATTAAAAATTATGAAATGACCAAAATACAATTTCCTTTAAATAACAAAAGGAATCAGAAAAAACTAATTGCAATTATAGTCCCAATTTTTTTGAAAAGCGCAAATGAGTCTCAAATAAATTATTAAAAGGGTAATTAGTACATAATATCTTTATCTTTCACCTTTATTGTAAAAAACGTCCATACCTTTCATTTTTTTGGTATTTTCACCCTTAATTACACATTTGATTGTGCAAACTAACATTTTCATCCAATTTCTCAATAAAGAACTGTGAAATAATGAATATACTCTTTTATTTAAATAAAAAAAATTTAATTTCTAATTTTTGAATAATTTATTTGGGACTCTTTTACACTTTTTGTAAAAAAATTAATTTTTTTAATAATTTATTGGGGATTCGTTTGCACTTTTTAAAAAAATTGGAACTATGATTGCAACTAATTCTTTAGTTTTTTTAATTTAAATATGAGGGTATATTCATCATTTCACTATTTTTTTAATTAAGAAATTGGATGAAAATTGATAGAAATGATGGTTTGCACTATCAAATGTATAATTAAGGGAGAAAATGTCAAAAAAAATAAAAGGTATGGATGTTTTTTTGCAATAAAAATGAAAGGTATGGACATTATGTGCTAATTACCCTTTTAATAATTTACTAGGTGCAAGCAACGTGCAATGCACGTTTACTTAGTTTATATTTAATATTATTGTTCAATAATAAATTTGTTATTAATAGAGATGTAATTTTTTTTGTTAATTAAGTGCGTGTCTGGGTGCGCTGCTATGAGTAA